CTACCAAAAAAAAAAAAATACAAAAATTGGATGGGTGTGGTGGCAGGCACCTGTAATCCCAGCTACTTGGGAGGCTGAGGCAAGGGAATCACTTGAATGCAGGGGCAGAGGTTGCAGTGAGCTGAGATTGCACCACTGTACTCCAGCCTGGGTGACAGAGTGAGATTCTGTCTTTAAAAAAAAAAAGTTTCCCAGTTGGCAACACTACTTTGAGGCTTTTTTCCCCCTGATCAATAACTGATTCAAAAAGACAACTGAGCAAGTTATTCACTAGCCAAATGGGATGGATTACAAGTTAACTAGTGACCTACTATCCAACCCATTTAAAATGGCTGGTCCAATCTCCACCAAAGTGGTCGGGGCCCCTTGCACAGATATTTTTGGGAAACTCATCATGAAAGAGAGGTCTTACACTCCAACTTCAGAGCTCTGTAATGGGAAATCATTCGTCATCTAGAATAGCTTTGGAAAAAAATGTCCAAGATGCTTTTCTTCTTCCTTGGTCACTGAGGAAACAGGTTTGGGACTGAGGGCAGCCCTAGAAGAAGGCTCTGAGCAGACTCGCCTTGCTGCTTCTTAGCCTTTTCTGACTTGAGAATTCCTTCTGTTGTAATACAAAATTTCAGAGTTCCATTTAGGAATTAAAGAAAAAAACCAGTCTAAAATTTTGGGGGGGATGCACTGTATAAAAAGCAAGAACTGCAAATGAAACATAGTTCATTCGATTTCAATATGTTACTATGTAAAAATTTCAATTGTTTATGACCTGGTGTTTATAATTCTCGAATTTTTCTTTAGAAAACATCAGTTGGTTTACTTTTATAGTTTTCAGGTTTGTTTTGAAATAAAGAGGCAAGAGGAAAAGTTCCAGGTTTCTGTTTACAAGCTCCTCTCTGCAAGAAACACATTGTAGATGTGGACCATTTTTATTCTAAATAAATACAAAGCCAAAATGAATTTAAATTATCACAATATTTTCACATTTATAAATGCTTTTTGAAGTACCAGAAACACCTTGATGTGTTCTGGGGAAATTTTAATTCCATAAAGACAATGCATGAATCCTGAGCACAGGGCCCATTTGCTGGACGGAAACGAGGAGCCCTGTGTTCAAAAAGCACAAAGAAACCTTTCTGCTTTCATCTAGGGTCTCTCTCTCTCTCAAGCTGTCACGCTAGTTATCATTTGCTACTTAATGATGTGCTACCTCGGGCACAGGGACTGCCCCCCACCACCACCCCCAGCCAGTGTAGCCCCTCACGGGCACCCAGGGCCCTATTCTGTGACTTGAGCTCAGGACTCACACCAGACTCTGGCCCCGTCCATCCCTGTGCCAGGGCCCCTGCTGGGGGTGGAGAGGGCAGTGATCATGCGTGAGATGAGGAGGGGCAGGCCAAGCAGAACCCAGGAATCCTGGCTCAGGGAGTGGGTGGCTGAGAGCTCATGGCAGGAAGGTGGGAAGGGGCAGGAGGCGGGATTGCGTGTGGGCTGAGGCTCCAAGGTCCTGGTGTGTGTTCCACTGTGCTGTGGAGCTTCATTTATAAAACACAATTCAAAGGTAAAAAGACCCTAAGCATTTCAAGATGGTGCCACAGAGCATTAAACCTCATGCACTGGGTCCCATGCGACTGTCGTGGTGGCACACCATAGAGCCAATCCTGCATAAATCTGAGAAAGATCATGGAAAAGTAGAATTGCAGAAATGTTACTACTTTTATGTTTCTCATGTACCTCTTGCATTTCGACCCATCATTCCCTCTGCTGCCTCTCTTAAACCTGTGGTTCTTTGGAGGTACACGCTTGACACAGTGTGGCGATGAAACAGCAAGGGAGTGACAGGTCAGCAGCACGGCCGCCTGCTAGACACCATGCTCAGAGGGGCAAGGAACCTCACACAATTGCTGTCATTTGGGAGGGCTGAGGACTCTGAGACAAGGGATGAGGTGTTTGACCTCTCAAGGCGTCTGTGGTTGGCCGATTCCACAGAGAGCTGTAGGAATTAGCAAAGCAATAGGAGCTGGCTTTCATTTGCCAGTGAAGAGAGATGAAAAAATGATAATGATATCCCCACTGTGCAATTGCAGGACTTTCTCCTTACCAAGCTGTCTGAACAACAGGCCATTAGCAGGCAGAACAAACAATTCCACTTAACTCAGGAGGTAGCATTTACCTGTATATCAGGAAATCTCATGGCACCTCTCATGAAAAGAGACCCTTACCTCATTTGCTGTGTTGTGTGTCCCAACGATACGGATGAAGGAGGCAGGCTGCCTTTCAAAACTCACTGACTGCCAGGACCTGGGAGAGGAAACAACCATTTGCCTGGTTAGACGGTGCAGTTAACTGACAGTGTGGCTGATGAAGTCATGTCCACTGAGGGAGGGCTTCCTGTCCTCGGAGACTTGCACTGTAGGAGGGGCTGGGGGCAGGGCTGCACCTAATGTATGGCTGAGAGAGGCGGGACATACACAGTGTCCCTATTCAGAAGCTTACAACCCCATCACAGAAGGCACTCCTCCCCATCTGTGAAGGTCACTTAGGGTTCTTACAAAGCCCTCCATAAACAAGCACAAAGTGCAGACCTAGGACAAGAGTGTGGACAAAGAGATGTAATCACGGGGGCAGGAGTTCATAAATACATTTCCCCATCTATAAAATGGGGCCATGATGGGGCCCACCTCAGGGCTGTTGGCAGGATGACCTCAGTCATTCATCAGACACGCATCTGAGGGGGAGCAGTTACTGAGCACGGGAGGCTTCTGGGAGGAGGAGAGTTTTGAAGAGGGCAGGGATGTGGGAGGGCTGCGGAGTTCCAGCACTTGGGTTGGGGCAGCGGGGGTCCTGCACTACCCTCTGACCCCACCATGTGAGTGACGGCACATGGGGGTTTTGGCAAGTTCTCCACAGGCCTCTACCCCCGCCTTTCCCTGCTTCCAAAATGCCACCCCCCACACCATCTATTCTCAAGACTGGCCTGGCTCCGTCTGGGTGGTTTCCAAAGCATCCCCGATATTTTAAAGGCAGTTCCTCATTGATCGGCACGGGCCAGGCCAGCTCATTGAAGACTCGGCAGAGCAGGCCTGAGCGGACCCTGAGAGGAGGAGTTCTGCTCTTGGCTGAATGCTCAGCAGCTCATCAGAATGTACCGGAGGAGTGCACGGCACCCACGACTGTAAACTCCAATCATATTTTCTGTAATAAATGTGAGGAGTTCACAGTTGTTGCCATCCCTCCTCCGCTCTCACAGTGGAAATGCCAGCTGCTGAGAAGCTGTTTCCTGTAATTGTCTAATTACCAAGTAATGTTAGCAAAGAAAATATCTATGTATTTGCAGTTTGCTTTCCCCCTTTGGTTTCAGGTGTTCCATCTTCCCTCTCACTATGAACCTCCCACTGAGATTGATTCACTGCTGCCTGGACACCCGTCCCCTTAAGGTCATTAAAAAGTCATTACCATCTTGTGTGCAAAGTCTGTGCCCCTGAAACCAGTGTTCTGGAAACAGAGTTAGAAAAATCACTCTCTCCGTAAAAATGCTATTATTCATACATGAAAGTGACGCCATCTGACCATGCCCAGGGCTTGTGCTGGTGCCCTATTTTCTTGGTGAGCGACTGCTGTCCTCCCAGACCCCCAGCTCTCTTGGAGGGTCTGCTAGATGGGATGCAGCCCGTGGGCCGGCAGGGGTCCTGCAAGACCCTGTGTGGTTTCCACAGGCCTAGCTCTCTCTTGCCAGCCAAGCAGTGGAACTGACCACACACTCATGTCCTTCCTCCAGCAGGTGGGGGGAAGTGAAGGGAGCGGCCCCTGGCCAAGGTTCACACTGGGACATCAGAGTCCCATCCCTGTCCCTAAAGGAAGCTAAAGAGTACACTAAAGCTGGTCCACTGGCTGCTTCTCAGGCCACGCCTCCAGGAAAGAGAAACAGAAATAGGATGAGTGACAGTAGCTGGTGACAGCTATTAGGTTCCAGTCAGTTTCACAAAAAGGACTGGCATAGGGAGGTGGCAGGAGTGGAAGAAACTGAGCAAAGATTTTGTTCTTCTCAGCCTTCTAGCTCGATGCCTGTCAAATATCCAAGTGATTCTGGACAGTTGGAAGCTCTTGGTCCTCAACAACATGTATGTAGCTCTGAGAGTGAAGGCAGGCCCAGAATCATGGCCCTGTGGTCCCACGTACTCCTCCCTCCATGATGCAGAGGAGGTTCAAGGAACCCAGGCAGTGAGGTCTTGCTGGCAGCCATCCTGGGCAGAGCCGGCCTGAACCTGGGTCTCCCTCCCCTCTCCCTTGCTGCTCCTCTTATGCCAGGCTTCTGCAGCGGGTTTAGGGCTCTGGGCTCTGGCCCCACTGCCCTTGCTTCTGCCTGGGGAGGCAGGGGAGGCAGGGCTGGCAGGGCAGCAGCCTGAGCGGGAGGGAACATTTGAGGAGATCAGAAGGTCTCAATTTAATACCAATCCTCCATTACACTGCATTAATATCTAATCACACTGGACTTCAGCCTGAGAGTTGAATATATGATTTCATTTTCAGCAGAGCTGGATACCAATTCCAAGACCAAAGTATCAGTAGTAAGGGAAGCTGGTTAGGACGAGGAAATGAGCATCTCTCTCTCCCCATCAGATTCCATTTCCCCGGAACTTCTTCAGAATAACTTACCACGGCTGCTGGAAGGGGAAATGACAAGGTGGCACTGGAGTGGTCACCACCACGACTGTGCCACATTTGCAATCACTGTGAAACCTCAAAGGAGCTGCCTCGGCTGAGATTTCACAGGGCCAAAAAACGCCAGCATTGTTTAGTCAATGCAAAAGCTTGGCTGCCATGTTTATTGGGCTTTATTGATAGCTCCATAAATATTCCAGCTCACCAGGCACTCAGAATCTCTTCTCCAGTAGGCAAAACGTGCAGGAAAGACAACAGACTACTAGAGGCATGGCAGCCTGCCCAGTTCAGAGCCAGGGCTGGGCGCTTAGAGGAAGGTGTTTGAACAGGAACAATGAATGTCAAAAAATAACTGTGGTCTTAATAAAAACAAAACAGCTTAATAAAAACAAAAAACCCACACAGGATTGAAGTCCCAACCCCATACTGGCTCTGACTGGATGGACTGTTACCCTCCCCTGAGTCTACTTTCCTCATTTAAGCAATGCTAACAGAAATAACACCGGTCACCTGCTCGCAGAAACACATGTAGAATGAGATCCCAATTATGTCCAATTGTAAATATGTCTCTATACACATAGGTATTATTTTTAAATTTTAATTATTTTTTATTTAATAAAAACTTTAAACTTATTTACTTTTTAAATTTTTTATCTTTTGTTTATTCTTCACCATGCACACAAGTGCAGAACTATACACACATGTATTAAAACATAGGTGTCTGTAAGAATGCTTGCCAAAATGTTGGTCCGGATTTTAGCTTTGGATGGAAGAATTTCAAGAGCCATTTAGTTTACTTTGGTGCTGTTCTGTACTGTTTGAACTTGGTAGAATGTATAATCCATTTAAGCAGTAGACAATGTACCTATCTTGCCTATTGTCCGAGGACTTAATAATACAGATCACATGGCATGGAGCCAGTGAGAATGCCAGCACTGCATTATTATGCCAAGTACTCCAGTGGAGAGGACCATGGGCAACAGTCAAGACGGCAGGCTTTCCTCCTGGTCTCTCAGGACTCGGGGCAATGTGGCACAGGGGTGGAGAGCATGGGCCCTGGACCCTGGCTGCCAGTGTTTGAATCTTTATTTTGTGCTTTTAACAGCTCTAGGACCTTAAGCAAGTTGCTTAACCTCTCCAGGCTGCAGTCTTTTCATCTGTAACATGGGAATAATAGGAATAACTACCTACATTTTTTGGGTAAAGATGAAGTACATTAACAAATGTAAAACATCTAGAAAAGTATTGGCATACATTAAACATTAAAAAAAAAATAGTTGATAGTGTTACTACTACTATAATTACATTCAGCCAATGAGTCTGGACAAGACACACTGTGTTTCTGGGCCTCATCTGTGAGTTGTCAGGTTTGACAGTATATGATTCAATGATTACCACAGAGGTTCTTGGAGCACCCAAGGCGACTCCCATCAGCACCCATGTCTTGGAGGCAGACAAGAAGCTGGGCTTTGGAAGAATTAAACAAGTATGTTTTGAATACATCCTTGCACTTGGCACCTGCTGGGTGTTATGGAGGACGTGCAAGATGTAGTGCCCCTTCCTTAAGAAGTGTGTAATCTCACCAGGGAGATTAGCTTTCCTTCCACAAACTCATTAGAGAACAATGCAAACAGTACAGTGGTCCCAACTTATAAACCGGTGGTGTTCCAAAACTTGCCTTGTAGTTGGTTGTTTGATGCTTGGAAACAATTTTTCCATAGAAATAAGGCTATAAATTTTGAGAGGGTGCCCAGGCCCACCCACAAAACTCAATTTAACCCATAATGAAGCTAAAATACTATGTATATGAAGTTTAAAAAAGGAAAAAAAGAGATATTGTTGCCAGAGTAGTAATTAAGCAAGCCAGATAAACAAGGGATTTAAAACAATCTTTCCAAAGCTGCTGCTTGAGGAATGAGGATTAAATTCTGTAATGCAAATGAAATCATGGGGATGTAGCTGGAACATGGTAGGCGGTCTGTTAATAGGGAAAGTTAAAAAACGGGCCAAGTTTGTCATCCTAAAAGCCTTTCCCATCCACACACCACTGAGTGGTTTACAAAGTGTCTTAGAGTCGTGATCTATCTCATTTGGTTCCCAACACCATCTTTTAGGTAGGCAGTCAGGCAATCTGAATCCCATCAGAGGCAAGGAAACTGAGGCAAAGAGAAGTAATCTGTGTGACATCCTAGAGCTGTCAGGATAGAGTCAGCAACAGAAGCCAGATTTAACGACTGTGAGCTGAGGTTCTTTCCACCAAAGGGCAAGATGAAGACACCAATCCAGAGGCCAAGGCACTGACTAGTCACTGTCCCCTGGGTTTTATTTTGCTGGCTCCCAGAACATTACTGACACCTCATTTATGTGTTTGTGTCATGACTCCGGGGCCAGAAATCCCAGTGGCCAGAACCATACGGATCATACACACGAGCGGATCATAAGGTGGTCTCAGGTAAGTGATCATCCGCTAAAGTCTCCGTTTCCCAAGTGAAGTAGGGGTGGTAACAGTACTTACCATCTGGGGTTGTGAGGACTCAAGGAGAAAACACAAAGAGCATGGCACATGGTGAAAGCAAATTAACTGTTGGCTATTACTCTCACATCTTTACGTTCACACATATGGCAAACTGGAAAGAAAA